GCGAGAGAACCGGATAGAAGAAAGAGAGAGGAATCTTTAATCGTCTTAGACAGAAGGAAACGCCGTTCCGTCTCTACGATCCCCTCCTCTGCCCCCCCCCACCCCCTCCCCTTCTTCCTCCCTCCTATGCCCCGCTCCCCCCTCCCCTTCCCTTCTCCCCTCCCCTCTCTGCCCCTGCCCCCCCTCCCCTCCTATCCTCCCTTCTTCCTCCCCTCCTCTGATCCCCCACCCCCTCCCTTCTTCCTCCCCTTCTTCTTCCCTCCTCTGCCCCTGCCCCCTCCCCTTCTTGCCCCTCTTCCTCCTTTCTGCCTTCTCCTCCCCTTCTCTGCCCCTCCTCCCCTCCCCTTCCTTCCCCTCCTCTGCCCCCTGCCCCCTCCCCTTCTTCCTCCCCTCCTTCTCCCCTCCCCTTCTTCCTCCCCTCTCTGCCCTCCTCCCCCTCCCCTTCTTCCCCCCTCCTTCCTCTCCCCCCCCTCCCCTCTCTCCCTCCCCCCTTCTTCCCTCCTCTCCCCCCCCCTCCCCTTTTCCTCCCCCTCTTCTGCCCCCCCTCCCCCTCCCCTTCTTCCCGGACGCCCTCTGATACTCCGGAGAGCCCGGGAAGGCCGCGGGCATATTGATTAAGCTTCCATATCGAGACGAAGGTTCATTACACACACGCACATGCAAGCGGGCACGAACGTACATCACGCTTGTCTCTGTGTGCACATACAGGCGAAGATACGTGCTCATACAAGGTGGAAATACTTGCCTATGATACGAGACGTAGAGTCCGTCCGTAAGTCTGTTGATCCATCTATCTATTTAGATCCGTCTCTCTTCCTTTTCTCTATCTATCCATCCATAAATCTGTTTATCCATCCATCCATCTATCTGTTTATCTATCCATCTATTTATCTATCTATATCCATCCATCCATCTATCCATCCATCCAACCATCCATCCATCCATCCATCCATCCATCCATCCATCCATCCATCCATCCATCTATTCATCCATCCAACCATCATCATCCATCCACCAACATCCACCCATCTTCTATCAACCATCCATCCACCCACATATCCATCCATCCATCCATCCACATATCCATCCATCCATCCACCCACATCCATCCATCCATCCATCTATCCACCCATCCATCCACCCACCCATCCATCCACCCATCTATCTATCCATCCATCTATCTATCCATCCATCCATCCACCCACATATCCATCCATCCATCCATCTATCCATGCATCCATCCACCCACCCATCTATCCATCCACATATCCATCCATCTGTATCCATGCATCCACCCACCCATCCATCCACCTATCCATCCCTCCATCTATCCATCCATCCACCCACCCACATATCCATCCATCCATCTATATCCATCCATCCATCCATCTTTCTACACGCGAGAAATGGCATAGACCTCATGGCGACAGCCGTCCTGCCTTTCGAATTGAATTTTCATTTTTATCGTCCGGACTTAATTTTTTTCGTCTTTTTTCTTTTTCATTTTTTCATCTTTTATCCATCCGTTTAGAGGAAGGGGACTGAACGACACGAATGATTACCGAATGAACTGGTAATAACAGAATAATATACGATATTTTATCCGAAATTTAAAGCTGTGAACCGCCACAAAAAGCAATAAATGGAAGCAATATTTGGAACTAGGATTAAGGAAACGGAGAAAGAAAAACGAGGGAGTGGGATTTGTAGGACGAAAAAAAGGAAAGAAAAATAGGAAAAGAGAAAGGGGAATTATAACTACTCCCTCTCTCTCCCTTTTTCCTTCCCTTCCTCCCTCCCCCTCCTCACCCTCTCTCTCTCTTCCTCTTTCTCCCTGTGTCTCTCCCCCTCTCTTTCTCTTTCTTTCTCTCTCCGTCTCTCCCTCCCTCTTTCTCTCTCCTTCCCTCCTCCCTCCCTCTTTCTCTCTCCGTCTCTCCCTTCTCCCTCTTTCTCTCGCCCTCTCCCTCCCTCCCTCTTTCTCTCTCCGTCTCCTCCTCCCTCCCTCCCTCTTTCTCTCGCCCTCTCCCTCCCTCCCTCTTTCTCTCTCCGTCCCTCTTCTCTCGCCCTCTCCCTCATCCCTCCCTCCCTCTTCCTCTCCCCTCCCTCCCTCCCTTCCCACGTGCGTGCGCCCCCCCCCCCCCCCCTCGACCCCCGAGTCGGCGTCTCCCGGCCTCCTCGCCGACGCTCCTCGGGCGCTGGCCACCGCGCGGCCGACGGAGGCCTTTGATCACCGGCGAGAGATCGATGCGTCACTTTGTTTCAGGTCGAGTTAAAGTAGCAAAGTTCATGCTGTTGACGTGGCGGCGGCGGCGGCGGCGGCGGGGTTGGGCTCGTCCGCTGCGGCTGTGACGAAGGGCCGTGCGTGGGCGTGGGGGGGTCAGCGTTCCTTGCAGGAGGGCCAGAGAGAGTCTCCGTGTATTATTTGCGAGCTGGGCGCCGGCCTGGAGGAGGAGCGGGGCGCACAGGAGTCGTTCGAGTGTGTGCGTGAGGCGCTTGAGAGCGGCAGGAGGGCGGCGTGTGGGCGGCGCGGGAGATGAGACAGGAGAGGACCGCGAGGGCGCGAGCACTGTGCTTTAATCACTGAGTGGGAAGAGATTACTTTGTGAAGTACGTTAAAGGTGCTGTGCGCGGCGCCGGGTCTAAGGGGATGCCTGAAGCTGCGACTTGAAAACGCACGGCGTCGTAGCAGCGAATGGATGGAGTCTAGGCATCCGGGCAGCCGATTTCGCTCGTTTTGGGCGTGGTCCAGGTGCAGGAGGCTGACGGAGGCCGTGGCGGGAGGGCTGGGCGGGGCGGGGGGAAGGGGGGGCGCGGTTGGCCCTGGTCCTTCGATTTCTTACGTGTATGTGTTGGTCAAGACGGGAGGGAGATCGCCCGCAGGGGTTTGGATTCAGCGGGAGAGCTATTAATTGCCGAGCGAAGTGCTAAATCTAAAAAAAAAAAAAAAAAAAAAAAGGGGGGGATAAATGTAACCTCGTGTGAAGTTGCAGTTCGGCGAGGCGTCAATACGCGCGGGTGCCCTTTCCGAGGATGGCTAGGGGTTCGAGGGTGACCTGCCAGGCAGATGGAAAGGCCGGGGAAGACCAAGAGCTAAAGGCTAAAGGCTTCAAGGCCGGGGAAGACCAAGAGCTAAAGGCTAAAGGCTTCGGGACAGTCTAGCTTGCATGTCGTAATGGAATAGCTCATCGGTGGCGCCCGCGGCTGATCGTATCCTTGCGTGGGGATTCCTACTCCATGCAGAAGGCGACGATTCCTTCTCCTGGCGCCGGTGGCTCTCTGGAAGGGCGTGTGGATTTCTGGGAATTGCCCGCGGCGCGTGGCTTGAGGGGGGCGTGTGGCTTGAGGGGGGCGTGTGGCGGGCCGTTTGGCGGGTCATTGAGGTACGCCGTTTTGTGGCTTCTTTTCGTTTTTTTTTCTTTTTCTTTTCTTTTCTTTCCTTACGTGACAAAACGGGCATTGATCTCGAACGTCGCTCCTAGAATTACCTGGCGAATGCTTCGAACTGAAATCAGACCTGCATAATAAGCTACCTGAAGGACCGTTAGAATCACGAACATCTCGCATGAATTACACAACACCCCCCCCCTTCACCACTAACCCGCTTCGCCTCCCATTCCCCCCCACCCCCCCCCCACCCCCCATCTCCTCCCCGTAAATTGGTTATCGAGCTTTTTTTCCCCGACGTGAGGCTAAGAAACAAGACTTTCGCCATTGACAATTTTTCCTCTCGTGATTCAGGGCTACTTGGTTTTTTTCTTACCTTGTGTAATATCGGCGCTCGTAATGCACCATTATCCGCCGCGGCATCGTCTTCCTGGCTTGATGGCCTGGCATTAAGTATTTTTGCTCTTTGCGGCTTGGCATATTCGCCGTCATTTCGCCGACTCGCAGTCTGGGTCTCTCTGTCTGTCTGTTTGTCTCTCTGTCTGTCTGTCTGTCTGTCTGTCTGTCTCTCTGTCTCTGTCTCTGTCTCTGTCTCTGTCTCTGTCTCTGTCTCTGTCTCTGTCTCTCTGTCTCTCTCTCTCTCTCTCTCTCTCTCTCTCCTCTCTCTCTCTCTCTCTCTCTCTCTCTCTCTCTCTCTCTCTCTCTCTCTCTCTCTCTCTCTCTCTCTCTCTCTCTCCTCCCTCCCTCCCTCCCTCCTCCCCTCCTCTCCCTCCTCCTCTCCTCTCTCTCTCTCCTCTCCCTCCATCCTCACATTCACTTTCTCATTCTTTCTCAATCTCCCTCATTCTTTCCTTCCTTCCATAGCCGTATATTTACGCGATCGATATTTCTAAAGTTGGAAGCTTCTTGTAACTCTTGATGCTATCGCGGCCGTCTTTCCCTGACCAGCTGACAGCTCCGAACCGGCTCATCTTGATGACCCGATATGACCTGTTTCGGGGCCGGAACCAAGTATATTATATATTATGTATATATATATATAATATATATATATATATATATATATATATATATATATATATATATATATATATATATATATATATATATATATATATATATATATAATATATATATAATATAATATATATATATATTCACACACACACATTTGTATAAAACTATGTAATATATACTATATACTTATAACAATGACAACAGTGCACGTAAGGATAAATAGTGTATAAATATGCAATATTAGTATATGACCATATTCGTATATATGCATATACACATATCAGTCCGCTTTACATCACTCACTTAGTATGCATAACATGTCCGACAAGACGATGATAAGATATACACTAGAGAGCACTCGCTTGTTCATGTGAGTGTGTATGTGTGTGTAGAGAGAGAGAGAGAGAGAGAGAGAGTGAGGAGAGAGAGAGAAGAGAAAGAGAAAGAGAAAAGAGAAAGAGAGAATGTGAATGTGAATCCGTGTGAATGAGTGTGTGCATGTGTCTGAGTGCGCGTGTGTGTATTATTATTTAACCCCCCTCACTGCCGCCCATCCACGCCGCCCGCCCCTAATCCCCCCCCTCTCTCTCCGCCCGCAGATTAAGGCCTACGAGAAGATCGACAACGCGGAGGAGAGAAGACGGGTGGCTCGGGAGATCTACGACAATTTCATCATGAAGGAACTCCTGTCCAACACGCACGTAAGTTCCTGTCGGGGATTTTTAGGGGGATTTTTTCAGCGGATTTTTTAAAGGGGGGGGGGGGTTGAATGGATTTTTAGCGGGGGTTGAAGTCTGGTCTTTCGTGTATGTTTTTTTTATTTTTTTTGTTTTTTTTTTTGTTTTTTCTTGTGTTTTTTTTTTAAAACCTGTCCTCTTTTTTTCTTTTTCTTTTTTTTAAGCTTTTTTTATCTAATATTATTATTTTTTTTACTTTTTTTCCTTCTTTTTAAGCCTTTTCTCTTATTTTTCCCCGTTTCTTCTCTTTTATCATCTTTCTTTCCTTTCCTTATTTTCTTTTTTTCTTCTTCCTTTTCCTCCTCTACTTTCTCCCCCATCTTCTTCCTTTATTCTTGTTTTCTTCTTTACCTCTTAGTCCTCCATCTCTTTCTCCTTTTTTCCCTTCCTCCTTCCACTTTTTCTTTCTTCTTCTCTTTCGTCTTCTTCCTCTTCTTGTTCTTTTCTTTTTTTCCTCTTTTTCTCTTCTTGCTCCTCTTCCTGACCCCCTTTCCCCCTGCTCTTCCTTCTTTCTACCCTGTTCTTCCTCCTATTTCTTTTCTGCCCCAATTCTTCTCTACTTTTATATATCTGATGTTTCTCTGTCTCCCTTTCTTTCGAGACTGGTATTGATATCAGTGTGTACCTGTGTACATCGATTTTGTGTAAACATACATCCTTTTGGGTATCTCTCTCTCTCTATCTCTAATCTATCTATCTATCTATCTATCTATCTCTATCTCTCTCTCTCTCTTCTCTTCTTCTCTCTCTCCCTCCTCCCCCCCTCCCCTCTCCTCCTCCTCCTCCCTCCTCCTCCTCCTCCTCCTCCCTCCTCCTCCTCCTCCTCCTTCTCTCCTTCTCCTCCTCTCCTCCTCCTCCTCCTCCTCCTCCTCTCCTCCTCCTCCTCCTCCTCGTCCCTCTCGCTCCTTAACTGTTCTTTCCTCCTTCGACCTGCTTTTGGCTTTTCTTTCTTAAATTTCTCTTTCCGAGCGCAGTTTATCCTCATTTTCTTGTCTTTCCGTCTTCGCCATTTCAAATATCTTCCTTAGCTTCCCTTGAGCTCCTCCCTTCGCCGAGCGGTTTCTGCGGTTTCTTCGTCTCTCCTTTTCTTCGGTTTCTTTGCTTTTCGTTTCTGAGGTTTCTCTGTCTTTCGTTATTTCTGTTTCTTCCACTTTCGTTTTTTCGGCTTTCGTTTCTTAGGTTTCTCTCTTTCGTTATTTCAGTTTCTTCCACTTTCGTTTCTTTTCTTTTCTTCGGTGTCTTTGCTTTTCGTTTCTTGTTTCTTCGGTTTCTCTGTCTTTCGTTATTTCTGTTTCTTCCACTTCCGTTTCTTCGGCTTTCGTTTCTTAGGTTTCTCTGTCTTTCGTTATTTCTGTTTCTTCCACTTCCATTTCTTCAGTTTCTTCGGTTTCTCTGCGTTTCGTTATTTCCGTTTCTCTCTCTTTCGTTATTTCTGTTTCTTCCACTTTCGTTTCTTGGGTTTCTTTCCTTTTCTTTTTTCGGTTGAGGTTTGTTTCTCCGTCCTTCGTTTCTTTGCCCTTATCTCTTTGCTCTGCCTTCGCTCTTCTTTTCTTTGCCCTTTGTTTCTTCGCCTTGGATTTATTTTCCCTATTTTTCTCTTCCCTTCGTTGCCTCCTCCTCGTCGTCGTCGTCGTCGTCTTCCTCCTCCTGCTCTTCTCTTTCTTCTACTTCTTCTTTCTTCTCCTCCTCCTCCTCCTCCTCCTCCCCCTCTCCCCCTAACCTCCCCTCCCCCTCACCCCACCTCCTCACCCCTCACCCTTTCTTCCCTCACCCTTCACCCCACCCCCCTCCCCTCCCTGCCACCCCTTGCCCTCAGAGCAGACATCGCCATTGTTCCTGATCTACGCGAGGGACCCATGGGCGGCCTTTGTTGTTGTTGTTGTTTTTGCTTTTTCTATTTTTAAAGGAGTATTGTGAGAGTCTGTGGAGGAGACGCCGGGGAGGAGGAGGGAGGGAGAGAGGGAGAGAGGGAGAGAGGGAAGGAGGGAGAGGAGAGGAGGGGAGAGGAGGAGGGAGAGAGGGGAGGAGGGAGGAGGGAGAGGGAGAGGGGGATGTAGAGGAGAGGGAGGGAGTGGGAGAGAGGGGAGGGAGGGGGAGGGAGTGGGAGAGAGGGAAGGAGGGAGGGAGGGGAGAGAGAGAGGGAGGAGGGAGGGGGGGAAGAGGGAGGAGGGAGGAGAGAGGGAGGGAGGGGGAGGGTGAGGGAAGGAGGGAGAGGGAGAGAATGTGTGTTTTTGTTATGTATGTTCGTGTGTGTCCTCCTATCCTACAAACTTGTAATCACTCCACTTCCAGTATTAATATAATTCCATCATATACGAAAGCAGCACGAGTACCGGATGCAAATCACCCTTTTTTTTCTCTCTCTCATCGAGGTACACTTAAAAAAAAAATCGGAACAAGTGGCGCAGTACGTTAGAGCGAGCCCCAGGCCATCTCCGGTCTGACCCTTGCCGAGTGTAGTTCATTAACAAGTGTGCAGAAGTCGTGTTGGAGTGCGGTAGAGCGGCGAGTGTGGCTTAGGCATTCCCTCCTCCGCCTTCCCCCCCCCCCCTTGGCCAACCTCTTCTTGTTTCCCCCTCTTGTCCTTCCCCCCCCTCATCCCCCACCCCCCTATTCCCTCGTTTTCCTTTTCCTTGCGTCCGCCCCTCCGATATCCACTGTTCGCTTCTTGTCCTTTTCCCCTTCTTGTTCCTTTTCCTTTCCCTTACCCTGGCCACCCATTCTATGCTCCCCTTCCTTCTCCGCTCCTCCCTCTGTCTCCACTTATTCTGATCCCTTCCTCCTCTCTGTTCTCCTCTTTATCCTCACCTCCTTCACCATCTTTCATCTTTCTTTCTTTCTTTCTTTCTCTTTCTTTCTTCTTCTTTTCTTCTTTTCGTTCTTTCTTCTTTCTTCCTTTCTTTCTTTTCTCTTTCTTTTCTCTCTCTCTCTTTCTCTTCTCTCTCTCTCTCTCTCTCTCTCTCTCTCTCTCTCTCTCTCTCTCTCTCTCTCTCTCTCTCTCTCTCTCTCTCTCTCTCTCTCTCTCTCTCTCTCTCTCTCTCTCTCTCTCTCTCTCTCTCTCTCTCTCTTCTCTCTCTCTCTCTCTCTCCTCTCTCTCCTCTCTCTCTCTCTCTCTCTCTCTCTCTCTCTCTCTCTCTCTCTCTCTCTCTCTCTCTCTCTCTCTCTCTCTCTCTCTCCAAATCCCTCCCTCCCTCCCTCCTCCCTCCTCCCTCCTCCTCCTCCCTCCCTCCTCTCTCCCCCTCCTTCTCCCTCCCCTCCCCTATCCTCTCACTCTCTCTCTCTCACTCTCTCTCTCTATCTCAACCCTCTCCCTCCTCCGCCCTCTCTCCCTATCCCTCCTCCCTCCATCTCCTCCCTCTCCTTCTCCCTCCCCTTCCCTCCATCTCCTTAGGTGGAAGGCTCAGTCTTATGCACGATCAATCCATTATTCCGTCACCCAACCGCCGTGACCTCCTTCTCCGCCTGACCTGAGACGAGAGAACCTCTTCAGGAGCCCCACTTCTGCCTCCCCCCCCCCCCCCCTCCCCTTCTCGCTCGCACGCACGCACAAACGGAGAGAACTGAGTGAGTGAATGAAACGGATGGATAAAAGAACGAGAGCGAGAGAGAGAAACATATGGATGGATGGATAGATGGATAAATAGATAGATAGGTAGATAGATAGATAGTAGGTAGGTAGGTAGGTAGGTAGATAGATAGATAGAAAATTAGATTAACATATAAATATAGATAGATAGATAGGTAGAAAGTAGAGATAATTGATAGATAGATATAGAAAATAGATATAAATATAGATAGATAGATCGATAGATAGACAGCTGGGTAGGTGTGTGAAAAGGCCGCTTCTCAAGAAACGCAGCGCAAGACGACCTAAGGCGCGAGTGCATCTCCGAGTGTGGCTGCGTGGAGAGGACGAGGAGGCGAGGAGGGCGAGGAGGGTAATGAGGGAGTGCTTGTTCCTAGGGGAAGGAGAGGGGCGGAAGGGCTGCTAATTGCGATAATGAGATTAGGGGAGGCTTGCGGGGAGGCCGTGAGGGCACCGCGCCGGCCGCGAAGAGTCCCCCGATCGAAGCGAAGATGCCGCGGCCGCTGCGTCCGGGAGGAGGACCTTCCGTGGCGGCGGGCGGGGCTCTGGCGGGCGGCACCAGAGGGAGGCCCGGCTTGGAACAGGGGGCAGGGGGTGCAAGGCAGTGCAGGCCAGGGTAGTGCAGGGCAATGGAGTAAGGACAGGGAGTGCAGGGCAATGGAGTGCCAGGGTAGTGCAGGGCAATGGAGTATAGGACAGGGCAGTGGAGGCAAGGAGTGCAGGGGGAGTGCAGGACAGGGAGTGGAGTGCAGGCAATGGAGTACAGGACAGGGAGTACAGAACAGGGGAGTGCAGGGCAATGGGAGTACAGGACAGGGGGTGCAGGGGGAGTGCAGGACAGGAAGGCAGCTGCAAAGGACAGAATGGAGGCACGAGATTTGTGTGCGGAGGAGTGGATGATCTAGGAGGGAGTGTAAGTGATGCATGGAAGTGTGTTTAACGAGAGGGGTGTAGATATCTGGAGAGAATGGAGTGGAGGGAGGAAAATGGGGAGTACGAGAGGCGTAATGGGGGATAGTAATGCTAATGAGCTTAAGAAAGGAAATGTAGGATGAGTTTAAGCGTTTTGAGTGCTTCGGGGACCGTGGGCGGAGAGCAGGTAGTTAGGGCGTCGTGGGAACCAAATAGAGGGAATACCTTTATAAAGATCAGACCGTATAGAAGAAGAAACAAACAAATAAGTACTAATGGCCTGACTTAGAAACATAATCGTATTGGGGTCAATGTAACGGTGTACAAAGTCGGTATAAATAACTGACATACAAAACCAGATTTATATAGGTCTGAGAAATGAAGGAAACGATTCGACTTTCGCATCTTTGGGTTTTAGACAGTACAGGGGGCATGTTTTTTTTAGAGACTTGATCCAGCCTCTTAG